TATACTCTATTCGTTATTGATTTAGTATTGTGTTCAGAATAGAAAATATAAATGCATGTATTTTTAATTAATGAATTATATTTGGGTCCACTGTACTAAAATATAACTACCACAATAACTTTTATTATGATGTATATACTTATACTGAATTTTCAATGATACTAACGTTAAACGATTTAGTGTCGTTCCGCTTTAAAACTAAAATGGTACTAAATATAATGTATAATGCTCATTCAAATAGTAATATGATATTAAGACTTACCGGCGAGTACGATTGATTGTGGTTTCTACTTCAACAATATTTTAAATGTTGACAACTTTAACCGTTCGAGGTCTGCTCCAGCCAAGATGAATGACCCAACTTACCGGACACTTCATTTTATACAGAAGTCTGGCCAAAATACCAGAATTCAGCATGCTGCTGATTTTCCTGGGTCTAGAGAAAGGGGATTTTTTTCCAACCAAAAATAGACATGATACACGTCTAGTATATACACAGCGATATGACAACGAGGTCGGGTGACGTAGCTGTATTAACTATAATAGATCGAACACACGGTCAGTCTAGTGTATTTAAATGCCGCGTAGGTACGGGACATTGTTACTGTTTACGTGTGTTTGTTGTTCATTGTTAGTCACTCTTATACGTCTATGATCAAGTTTTCCTCTGTACTTTCCGGATAAATTCACCGTAACAAACTCTTTCATAACAATCTATACTTTGTACCATGTACTAGTGCAATGCACATACGATATATCATGTACTTAACGGGATGTTTGATTTAGTTATGTTGATTGCGTAATAATTCACGAATCTTGTCACACAAAACGTCCAGGTGCTATTTTATTGACGGATAATTAAACTCCCATCTCATCTCTGTTGATTAATATTTTGAAGATAGCAGTCCTTATCCCGTTAATTTTCAGCATACGTGTTGTCTCCATTAGTTTATATTTTGAAGATAACAGTGCTTCTCACGTTGGTATATGCCATATTCGAGTATAGTCGAGGCTTTCATACAAAGGAGTATGTGTGGTTAATGCATAGTTATATCAATGGCCAAAAAACACTAACGTATTAAACTGTTCGTTGCATGACTAGCGTACGGTTGTGGTGAGGAAACGGCAAGCGGCAAGCATTATCGACACAAGGTCAACATTCCTATACCTGTGTCAATGGCAGAGTTTTACTGATAAATTTATGTAACCTTTAATTGTAAGTGTATTATATACTAATAGACAAAACAAAAAATGATTTGTATGGTGTTTTATCAATTTTGCCACGTTCGGTAATTAACACAAATAAGGTAGGCATCATTTTGGATTTCACAATCAGTGTAATATAAGTTGCTCTGTGTACTTACAGATATCATTATAGCACTCCTTTCTCTTTTTATCGCATCGCTGAGAGGGAAATATAATAAAGGGAGTGCACAGTAACGTTTACTGAGTGTGCTGTGTTATATTTCCCTTGGAATATAATAAATACGTAGACTGTACTTGTATTACCGTTGATATGTTTCCGGCTTTAAAAATTCGATTCAAATCAACGGAAATCAATTTGTAATTACTGACTGAAAATGAAAATATTTCATCCAGAAATATTTGTTTAATTTGATTTCAAATCTTTATGATACCTGCAATTGATACATTAGTTAGCCTGTCTATTTGGATTGTGTAAATGTTAAAAAACATCCAAACTGATTTCTGCAGTAGTTTACTAATATACAGAACTGGTCCAAGAAAATACAATTAATTCATATATATACAAAAGTTGGTAACCCTAACTTAAATGTTATACAACATATATTTTTGTTTGTTATTGTGAATTGAGGAATATTGCATATAGTTTTCATGACGACTTTGCGCGGAGATTATAATTGAAAAACATCGCATCACAATATAAACAATATAAATGTATATCGCTTTAATTATATTGAATTTGTCAATTGCACTTCGTCTCTCATATGTTCCTTTTAATCTAAAACATAATTGTGTTGTTTTTTTCCCAATTATTTTTCCCCTACCTTTTAATTTGTCTTAACTTATGATTGTTAAATTGCCTTCAATTACAAATAACCATATATGCTTATCCCTTTATATTTAATATGTTGTAAATATTGTGTTCAAAGTTTGACATAATATACGACGCTATACTAATTAGCTCTCACTGAGATAGCAAGGATGTCTTCTATGTTAAATACGCATTTTGTTATTTGTGTAGCGATTTCGTTTCAATTGTTTTCAAAAGAATAATATCATTTTAGCCTAATTTCAAATCATAAAATGCATTTATGAAATAGCGGAGTTTTTACAATTAAGTTTAATAACTATGTACGCAATAAGTTCATTTTATTATATGAAAAAAAACTCAACCCAAGTAAAACATTTCATTGTTGTTTTGAAACGAATTTGACGACAATTAAGCCACAAGCATGTTTGGATGACGGGCTTTAAAAGGTTAGATGCCAATTTCAGCCTTTTGTTGGTTATCACCGATAAGGTTTTTTTGTGTTTTGTTTGTTTGTATAATCATACCTAAAGGTTATGCCATTATGAAATCAAAAAATGAAGATCAGTTTAGATACCATTCCAGGATATGAGGGGATGAAGTAGGGAACCAAAATCACAAATGGCGCGTTTTTGATAAAACTATAAGTTATAATTTGAAACTTTCTTCATAAATTTGATGTATTGTGTAACACTAATGCAGCAAAATAATAAAAATGGCCGAAAAATAGCACATACATGTAGTCAATAAGTAGGTCACTGTAACCTGATTATATATCTGCTTTAGTAACCTCATTAATTCTCCCTATTTTGTGTCTAAACACAAATTAGAACCCTATAATAATGTAACCAAGTGATATTTCAAGGTATCTTAACCAACTTTTAAGAAATTGTGATCGGACTACATACTTCATTCCATTTTATATACTTTTATTCATAATTACTCTTTTTTTATCTTGGCACAATGCCTCTTTTATATAGACATGCATCCCACTTTCAGAGAAGTATTTGATTATAATAAATACAAATATATCTGAATACTAGTTTTTGATATATATCAAGTAAGTGTACCTTTCTAGTTGGATGTGAAAAACTGTGATTTGTCTGTCAGTGCTTTGAGTAGTTTCATATAAATCTATGGAGAAATAATAACTAATAGAAATAAATTTTATAGTTTTGATTGGTAGTTTGGCTAACAAAACGTGATGCATTTCTACACCCTGACACACACCTAACATATTTATAGATAATAGATGTATAGATATTTAAGCTGATAGTGCAAGTTGAAAACTTTTTTAACTAATATTAAAAAAAAAAATCTGTCTGTCTGTCTTTCTGTCTGTCTGTTATATACCCAGTTTAACTCTTTGTTTTTATAATACTATATTGTATATGGAGTTTATTGGGATATGAAGGAAGTATGTTTTGTATTCTTGTCCTGTACTCTGTTTGCAAATGTTTTATTTCCCGTCACCTTTCCTATTTGTTTTTTAATGTTTACTGAATACAAATAAACTTAAACTAGAAATTAGGTGAATGCTGAATGTTGAATGAGGACCCTCCTGTGTGCGGACACCATACTGTTAAGGGGGCTGACCCCAGGTTTCCAAGACCCTGGTAGCCCCTTATCAAAATATTTATTTATGTACATATGTCTATGATTGCAAGCAGTATGGTTGGGAAATGAAATATTTTGAATGTTAAAAAAAGCATTTAAGATAACGGATATGAAATGTATTTGCCAATATCATTGAATAAAAATTGAGTGATACAGGCCCATTAGGCTTATTGTATATCTATTTATGTATGTATTGTTAAAAATATATCATTCATACCATTTAAATTCATGTGTTTTTATGCTTAAAGAACACAAGCATTGACAAATACCTTATATTTATATGAAATTTGGTCTTCCAAAATTAATTGAATATAAAACTAACGCTTACATGAATACCACACCAATCTTACTTGGTGCGTTTATGTATGAATTATTTAACAAATGGAACTAAAAAATGCAGGAATTTCTGCTCGTTTTCATTTCTCTGATAAAAACTCATAACTCTTCACTTTCAGTTTGTACACACCTTGATTACATTTCTTTTCATTTATGTTAATTTCCTTTGTTTAACTCCATAATTCACATCGAACTTCCTTTTGAATCAGTACACTTTTTCCATCGATGTTTCCTGCAGACGACCAATACCAATGATTTTGAATCTCGCAGTGGACTCGGACTTAGATTAGTAAGGAAAGGATATCTCGTTTAGGTTTATAACCAGGCACAAATTATAACCGCCACAACTAGCATGTCCCCAATTCAACATGTAATGTCAAGCAAAAGTAATGTCCTTATATATTTGTATTACATATTTATATAATGGATCGTAAACTTTGACACCGTTGCAAGTTAATCACATTGATAGATGCTTAGAGGAGACTTCGTTGTCAGTGTAATAAATCCTCTGGCGGGTCGGGTACAAGTTAATCACATTCATAGATGCTTAGAGGAGACTTCGTTGTCAGTGTAATAAAACCTCTCGCGGGTCGGGTACAAGTTAATCACATTGATAGAGTTTTAGAAGAGACTTCGTTGTCAGTGTAATTAATCCTCTGGCGGGTCGGGTACAAGTTAAGATTTTCGGTCTGGATTTTATCTATTTATGTTCAAATTTCGGAGTACTGTTGGCTTTATCACCTCTAATAAAAAAAAAAGTTTCAGAGTTTTAATGTTCAAGCAACTAGCCAGAATTTGTGTTATCCGGGTTTTTTAAAACACACCTGTCTATAGTTAAATTTCGCGTTTTGTTTTTCCTTTAACTTATGATGCATTATATGAAGAGATTGTTATATTGGTCATCCGTTCTGATGATTTGTTTTACTATTGTTGGCGTGTCAAGCTGACATTGGCTTCATGTAACAGTTTGTGTTGATTGAAATAAAGAATATTGAAATTAAAGTTTCAAAATATAATATGAACATTGCTTCATCAATGAATCATTTATTGAATAATAGGTGTGATACGAAGACATTGCATATTCAACTAGCACCAATAAAACTAGTAACAAACATCGTTTATTAATGCATTAGCCGCCAGTTTTACCATTATGTTCATAATACCGCTCATGTACCACATACAGTTCCTTGTTGTACCATATTCATTACAAAGAAAGTTCGTCATTTCTCCATACAATAGTATTCGCAAAGCTAGGTCATGAACCCCAAAATGGTCAATGTTTGTTTAACCATTAACATAACAAATACATTTCACTATTTGTACATTAAATTAAGAATTTACAACTAATAGAGTTCAAAATTCATCAATAAAATAAAGCACAACGAATACAGTTTATCATTTATCCAAATAATAATAATCCTCTAATACAGTCCACCATTCATCCATACAATGTTTTGCCATTTTTTACCAAAGTATTCATAATACTCATCATATACCACAAAGAGGTCCTTGTTTTATCATTTACACAACAAATAAAGATTGTCATTTATACATACAACATTAACACACATCAACTGAAAGTCACCATATGTCCATACACTAGAATGTACACTTTCTGTCCTGGTATTCATAATACCCGTAATATATTGCATAAAGTCCCTGTTATATCATACACATTACAACTAAAAACCATACAGCTACATGTAACATGTATATGATTATAAAAACCTATCGTCGACGTAACATACATTTCGTACATAGCTATAATTGGTTTCTTCGATAATAAAGACCCTACATATATTATTGTCATTTGCAAAGATAGTAAAGTCTTCTAACATTGTTATTAAACAAAGTCATATTCCAGACGTGAAGCCGTGACGCTAAAATTCTCGAGATTGCTTCCCATGAACTAACTGGTAGAATTCAGATTGTGGATTTTTTAGAAGGTTTTCTGGAGAGTCCAATTCGGCCACCTGACCTTGATCCATCACCAACACTCGGTCACTGTCCATTATGGTGTTGATACGATGGGCAATGGTCAGCACCGTACTGTTCACAAACTCCTGTCGTATTGTCTCCTGTATCAACATGTCTGTCTCCAGATCCACACTAGCCGTAGCTTCGTCAATACACAGCACCTTAGAGGAGAAAATAATGTGAACATTTTAATTTGTTCAACGTTTTATTCAAATAATTAAAAATCAGTTCATGCATATACCCATTATGATTTATTAAAAAGTTATCATCTGGTCATTAACTGAGAAAGCTTGTCAATGTCATCTTAGTATGCCAACATTATTGAAATGGACATTCAAATTCCCATTGTCCAAATTCAAATGAAATACCTCAGTGAGAATAGTCAAATCTAGCTAGAGGATTGTCGGAAACCATATAGAAGATCTTACCTTGGCCTTGGTGAGGAGTGCCCTAGCCAGACATATGAGTTGTCTCTGTCCCACAGAAAAATGCCGGCCCTTCTCTGCTACCTCTCCCTCGAGTCCCCCGAGTCTGTCGACAGGCAGTCGGAGGTGACACCTGTCCAGAACCCCCCACAGTTCCTCGTCACTGTAGCATGAGGTGGGGTCCAGATTCTCCCTGACGGTACCACTAAAGAGGAATGGGTCCTGGGGAATCACAGCCAGATGTCGTCTGAAAGTGTGTTGGTTTACATTAAATGGCGAACAACTTTATCTTAATTTTGCATACATTGATCAATGCAGGTAGGTGGAAATTCAATCGATGTTCAATATAGATTTTTACATTTTCATTCTTTTTTTATTAAAGACATCCCGTGAAAATACATATATGTATATGGTGACCAGTTTCCTTCTGTCTTTAGCGGATAAAAACATACAGCCTTACTTCATGTTAAAGTCATTACCTAACATTTTATTCGCCAGTGAAGACGTTGGTGAAGGTTATCTGACATGCCTACGTGATGTTATCAAACGTTTGATAGTTCCGTGTTACTATATGTTGACGGTTACTTGGAAGTTTCGTCTTACTTTATGGTAACAGTTGCTTGACAGTCACGTGTTACTTTATGATGACAATCACTGAAAAGCTAGGTGTTACTTTATGGTGAAAGTCACTTGACAATTACATGTTATTATGTGGAGACTATTACCTGACGTCTTTGAGATCCAGTTGCTGTATGTTCAATCCATCAATGGTTATGTCTCCAGAGCTGATCTCCACAGTACGGAACAGTGTCTGGAAGAGGCTTGATTTCCCGGATCCAGTTCGTCCCACAATTCCCAACTTTTCTGCATGACGTGTGCTGAACGTGAGGCCTTTGAGGACATTAGGTAAACCATCCCTGTACTTCATGTGGACATCACTGTAGCTGATCACACCTGTAGCTGGCCAGACCGGGGAAGGCTGTAATAAACAATGAGGATAAATGTACAATATGTTTATGACTAATTTCGTTTAAATAGTATTAACTGATATGATGATTTTTTGTAATAAAAAGTATAATTTACTTGACTCACCTGTGACCCTTCCCATCTCTCGCTGGGCGTGTCCTCTATATACTGCTGTACCCTCTCCACGCTAACCATTTGTGTTTCAGTCTCAGTTATGCAGTTGACGATTCCGTTTAAAAGACCGGACAGTGACAGAATGTAAGAAATGGCGAGTCCGGCTACTCCTGTGACGTAGAAATACATATTTGATACATTATAAATGCTTCCCAATATGCAAATAAAAAATATGGATTCATTGAAATCATCGTTCATAACAATTTCTGAAATCTTGTCTTATACCATCATTGTACATTTAGTTTAGAAATAATACCTGGATCGATTCCATGTATGCTGTGTTCAATCACAGCCAAAAAGGCTATTCCAGTCACCATGACAATTCCAACCAATTGAGTCTTGATCCATAGCCAGAGTGCTATGTTGTAGGCTGTATAACGAGTTTTTAACCAGTTGTCCAGACGATTAACGTATTGGTCTTTGAATCTACAAGAATGTGGTCATTATCAGAATAACGATTTAAAAGTACAGTAATGCTAAATTATACATAACATTTGGGATAATAAGGCTAATTTTTTTATTCAAACTGCTCTAATATTCTCAGTTGATTACTGATAATAAAAAAATCAATTAATTTCATTATTTTAAAAGCTGGTATATCAACCTTAAAGCAAGCCTTAATCTTATACGAAAATAATACTGACCTTTCGGACTGCCGAAATGCCCGGATGGTAACTACTCCCGCAACAGTCTCTGAGAAGTGGGAGAAGATCGGTGAACGGTTAAGACTTGCTATTCGTCTAACTTCCCTAGACGTGTGGCGATATTTTTCCTATGAACAAATGTAATACTAATGTAAGCCAACATGATCGACAAGTCAAAACATCTGGCCAAAACAGACATCGAAAATTGAATGAGGCATTTTTGTCGAATGCATCTACTATTGTCAGTATTGACAACCAGTATATCAAATACGTTTTAACCAGAATTGGTCGGGATGAAAAATATAAAATAGCAATGAATAATTTAGAATGAATATATATATAATCAAAACCTGGTGTTTAATCACTTCGGGAATGTACCTGTAGCTGATAGTAGACTGCGCCCACAGGTAGAAGGAGGAGTATGAACCAAGGCATTCCGTAGCAAACAATGGATATAGCTCCAACAACTTCGAAAAATTGGCACAGAACTACCATTATCATGCGGCTTATGGAGTCGTCGATAGTCCCCATGTCTGACGAAAATCTGTTCAGAATTCGTCCTATGGGAGTCACATCATAGAAGGACATAGGCGCCTACAAACACACAGTTCATCTTATTAGAAATCAAAATCACTAAAGTAAGAAATCATATCCACATTTCCGAGGTTAACGACTACAAGTTATATACAACAACAAATAAAAACATCCAGCTTATACAGGTCATGAATCAGCGACATTGTATGATTGATTAATTAAACATTGATTTACCTTTAGTATAGTATTGAGTAGGTCACTGTGTATGGTCTTCGCTACTCTCATCCCACTATAGGTAAAGAAAATTTCCCTGACAAGCGATAATAGAGAGTAAACACCAGACAGACATGCGTACACCACCATGTAGTAGAAAAGACTTGATTGCCCGGATGATGCAGGTGATGTGGAGTCATAACGTTGATCGAAGCTGAAAAAGGAAGTGACAATGTTTAACCTGTTTAAACACGAAATACGTAATATTAATTTACGAAATTTTAGCGAAACTTTACGTTCATAGATTATCGGTATGAAGGAAGCTTACCTAATTGGTGTAGACATGTTGTCATGGAAACAGAAATATCCAGAAATGGAGGTGTTGTTATCGTTAGTATTAGTACTGGATACCCAGTAAGTCAGCCACCAGTCTTTCATCATCTCGGACACTGTAATAGGGAATGTACACATAAAATCGCAGTCATCCGCCTCGATAAAACAAATATTTAAACAGTTTTGATCATGTGGTGGGTTACATTTAAATGCTTACAGGCTATTCATTCTACATAAATAAGATAAAAAAATATTGGTGACTAATTTAATTCCAAAGTAAACGCAGATTGGCGAAATAGAAACAAAAACCTACCTTGCATCAATACGATAGACATTATCATGGCTAGGGCTAGCCATTTACCTATCGCTGATAGATATGCTTTGTACACCCCTATCTTCATTTCCCCGGTGGCCTTAGTCTCCTCTCCTAGTTTCCCTTCCTTGTCGTTGTTATCATTGTAATCCACCTCCACGCCTTCTTTGTCCGATGGTTTGTGTTCAGCAAACTTAACATCGGTAAGCACTTCAGATGGAAGACCTAATGAAAATGTAAACAAAAGAGTAACAATATATTTGTGTTTCCTACTCGTATTTTAATTAAATGAATTGATTGTTTGAATTATAATTCACTTTTTATTAAAAATGTAATGATTCTTATAATTAGAATACTTTTTCCATAACAAAAATGGACATTTGTCTAAACACTCACCCATTTTGGTGATTTTTCCATCATCCATAGCAATGACAAGATCAGCTTCTCCAAGAAAATTGATGTGATGTGTGCATAGGATTCTCGTCTTGTTTCTTAGCAATCCCATGATGCACTTGTCATACATTTGTTGTGCCACGTGAGCGTCCACTGCTGCTAAAGGGTCGTCAAGAAGATATACCTCTTTATCCTGGAAACAGAAATTAAATAAGCGTCTACAAACTTCCAATCAAATTGAAACTTTTGCGCGAAAATATAGTAAACTCAGATTTTTCAATGTGATGTTTAAAGAAATCCGTTTTATTACAAAGACAAATGCAAGTTCAAATGAATCAATAGTATGTTGAATTTACCTGATATAATGCTCTTGCTAGAGCTAGCCTAGCTTTCTGACCTCCACTTAAAGTTACGCCATTTTCACCAACTTCTGTCTTATCTCCAGCTGGTAACATCTGAAAAATCAAAATTGCTATTTTTCACACTGTTGTAGTTGCTGAAAAAGGTTATATGATATGTCATCGGAAACGATTTTTCACACTGTTGTGGTTGCTGAAAAAGGTTATATGATATGTCATCGGAAACATACTGATAATATTTCTTTACAGTAAAAAACAAAATAACTTTAAAATGTGTCACATACGAACCTCTATGTCTTGTGTGAGTGATGCTGCATCCAGAACCTCAGCGTATTTCTTGGCGTTGAACGGACTGCCAAAGGTAATGTTATCCCGGACGGTTGTCTGTTGTATCCAAGGTTCCTGATCCGCAAGAGCAAACCCGTTTTTGAGGTTAGACACAGAAATATTGCCGTCTTCCCGAGCCATTTCTGCCATTATAGCGTTCAGAAAGGAACTTTTCCCAGAGCCAACCTTGCCGATCACTCCTATGAACTGACCCTATAGGAAAGTAAATATGTTTGTAATATTGTTATGAAAAGGCTTAGATTTTATATATGTTAATTAAATATTATTAACAATAGTAATAATTAGAGGTTCTTATATACCGCTTTATCACAACAAAGTTCGTAGGTCGTCTCAAAGCGGTTCACAAATTATTATCCGTGATTATAGGGCCTTTGCAACCAGCCAATATCTTTCTCAACTCCATGTGTAGCATACAGCCGGTGCTGCCATTTCGGCGCTCACAGCTAGCATTCAACAATTCTAGCACTGCCCAACCACGTACTCGCTTACAGCTGAGTAGACCGGAACAAACGGAGTAAAGTATCCTGCTCAAAGATACAACACAGTGCCCTGACATGACTCGAACCCGTAACTTTTCGATCACGAGCCCGGCGTCCTACCGCTAGACTACCGCGCCTCCGGTATTTATATATATATATATATTTCCATCACAAACAATGTACATGATTACTCACTTTTGTGATATCGACAGTAATATCTCGCAGACTTAGAGTTCCAGATTTACTGGTTGCCTCCCCTGATTCGCTGGTAGATTCAGTCGCATTCTCTTTTTCGTCACTTTGCATCTTCTCCTCTTCCCAAGTGAATTTCCCAGTCTTCACTGATATCACATTTTCGGATTTCTTCGATTCTGTAACCATATAGATGGAAAATTGAAATGATGTTTTGATCCTCAAATTTATATCTGATTCATGGGTTTAAAATGATATATCTATTCGCTATGAGTTTTACTCCTTTTTTCATTGTTTATTTGACTTCTGAAATTGCTGAATGTCAGATATCATTTCGAAATAATTCATTAATGTTATTTTGTCACAAAACAATTATCCTGATATCTCAGGGGGTTTTTTACCGCTTGAATCGTTCATAATAACAAAATGCATTTAATTGGTCTATTCAAAAATAATGAAACGAAAGTATATAAACTCATGCTAGTACAACTCAAAAACATTGACATTGAAGTTTACCTTGTTTTGTGTCGTAATAACTTTCGAGATTAATATCTTCCAATGCAACAAATTTCTCAATTCTTTCAAGGGAAATAACTGCTTCCATTATGCCATTGAATACCCAAGGAAGATGATTGAGTGATCCAAGGAGTTTCAAAAACAGTGCCAGACTTGCGAACATCTGTAATCGATATACATTGTATACATTTTTTGTTTTCTTACCAGCTTCTCTTTCTCTCCTTTTATCCTTCCTTCTTCCTTATAGCAATACAGTGTGATATTTAATGAAATAATACCTATCCATATGCAGTCTTTAGTGATACAAATTTCTTTTGGCATAATTTGTATGGTATGAATGTTGATATGAAAGATGATTGGTGACATATAGGGTATTATATGATCTGAATGAATTACTGATCCATTATTATTGTCACTCTATTGAAAAAACTCTTTTGAAAATAAAAAAAATATAAAAAAGTAAAAAAATATATACATTTTTAAGTATACACATTATTTCTATTAAATTTGCAAAATCAGTATAGGATTTACTGTATGAATGTTTCGTTAGATTAGTGTTTTACGGACGTTTCGTCCAGACAATTAGTTTGTTTATTGAACATGAACAATTTAATTTAAAGAGTCAAACATTAACAAAGATAAAATACATACCATAACTAAAACTATAATAAAAACATTTCAACACAAAAAACACATTATCTGTTTTTACCTTGGCGGCCGTTAGCGTATTTCCCATCATAGTGTATGAGCTGAAGGTCAGTACGGTCATAAAGATAGGGGTCAGTGTCCACAAATATCCAGTGATGGCTCCGATAACTTTCTTTTGTTTCATGATCTGTAACTCAGCATCACGGAGTTTGTCAATCATCTTCCGGGAGTGATCTTCCCATGTGTAAAGCTTGATTATCTTAATTCCGCCCAGCACCTCGTTCATCAACTGTTAAAGGAAACGTTAACTAAAATAAGCATCTCATTCTCTTAATGATTTCATACAAGGGGTCACGGACATCTTAATTATATTTAATTGATTGGTGTTTTATCCAAACATTTGTTTAAACGAAATTGCAAGAAATTGAACTGTTGTTTTATTTTACTAATCAAGTGAACACAAATAGTACATACCTTCGTTCTCTTGTCTTTCTCTTTCATTAGTAACTTTCCGAGAGCAATTTGCTTCGTTGATATGATCTTGTTTATGGGGACAAGTACCAAAGCTACTACTAGTCCTCCCAACATGGCAATCCCGACCAGTTGATATAGGATATACATACATAATATGGTCTCAAATGGAAGACTCCACAGGGCGTGGAAGCAATGGCAAAAGCCCATCATTCGATCTGTATCAGTCCCAAGAAAATTGACAATCTCGCCAGTGCTGAATTTCGATAAGGAGACAGTACTTATTTGCAATACTTTCTGATAGATAGTCGTCATGATAGACATTCTCACTTTCATCAAAACATGACTACGGACAAAGTGAAATCTGCTCTCAAGGAGAGCTTTTCCAAAACTCGACAAGAACAATAAAAAGGCATAACGATAACCGATGTTTGATGGTTCATCTCCATTTTCGAAAAAGGCAATCAACAAACCAAGTGATATTGGACCTGTGAAGTTAATCAGATGTGCAATTAACTCTAAAAGTCCGAGGTAAAGAAAAAAATCCAGTCCGTAGGCTTTGTACAACGCCTGCAGTAATGTAGACTTCTTTTTCTTGTCTGTCTGTACACTAGAGTCAACCTGTTGGAGTGTTTTAGAGAACTGTTCCTGAACTCTCTTAATGTTGAGATCGTTTGGCATGGCGAACATATCTTTAGATGAGAGACCGGCCTTTTCATTCCCTCTTTTCAGAAGTGGTTGTACCCAGTTATAAGTTAATCTGGAGAACAGAGATACTCCATCCTCATTGACTGTGTGTTCGTCAACACAAGTCGGATCCGTCTGGTGTTTTTGAGATTCATTTTTGTGACCATCTTGTGATCTTTGTAATAATTTTGTTGTCACATAACAGGATATTATCACGGTTAGGACAGCAAGTAGGACATTGACAACTGAGGACGTTATAACTTCAAATGGTTCTTCCGTGGCAACAGCCTGAACAACCATTGATTCTTTGCTGTGCAACACAGTTGTATTGACTTCTTTGAAAATTGTGACGTTGTCATCCGTTATCATGTTTTCTTTACTGCACATCGTTCTCCAGAACGAGTACTCCATATCCGATATCTGAAAATGTATATATGTTCATTTGGTATGAAATATGTATTTCTTGGAAATCAAGGCACTTTTCAATTTTCTGCCGGATTATCTCTACAATATTTTCCTGCATTCTATCAATACTGCTTTCTATATGAAGTAATATTGATCATAATTAAGGGTGAACAATGACTATTTTATTATGTTCGCAGTAGGCCCGACAATATCTCGAGAAATATTACTGTAACAAATGAGAAGAAATAATGATAATTTCTTATATCAGCCAGATATATCAATGTTTAGGATTTATTCTTTTCATATTTGCACTCACGAATCGTGAAAATATAACATTTCCCGAACCAACCTAATTAGATCGTATTCATCCATAGTTATTGAATGTTCTCTGTTTATTTCCGTTACAGATAAACATTGTGAGAAAGTGAATAGTTACCGTCACACAAATTGTTTCTAACATATGTTATTTACTAATTTGCTTTTTAATACATTGATACAGACTATCATATTAATTTAGTCTTGTGTTCAGATTAGAATTTTTTTATGTAATTACTAGTAACTTGATTTTTGTGCATTTCACTCAAATTCAATACCTGTTAACAATAACTTTTATAATTATATATTCATGTGCTAACTGAATTGTTAACTATATCAACGTTAGATTTATTAATAACGTTCCGTTTTTAAGCCACAAATGTGCCTAATATACAGAAAAGTTTACTATATGTCAAATAATCATATTATTATTACGACTTTTAGTGTCGTTCTGTGTTTTTTAACCGAAAATAGTGCTAAATATAATGTATAATGTATACCTGATAAATCGTTCAAATAATCATATTATTTTTACGACTTACCGACAATTACGTCTGATTGTGGTGTCTACCTTAAACAATATTTTCTATGTTGATGACTGTAGACTATTTGAGGTCTGCTTCACCCAAGCTGAATGACCCAATCTACCTGATACTTTATTTTATACATAAGTCTACCCAAAATATCGGATTTTCCTGGGTCTAGCGAAAGGGGATTTTTTTCAACCGAAAATAGACATGATGTACGTCAAGTATATACACAGCGATAAGACAACGAGGTCGTGTGACGTACAATGTAGCTGTATTCCCTACAATAGATCGAACACACGGCCAGTCTAGTGTATTTAAATGCCGCGTGGTTACTGTTTACTTGTGTTGTTGTCGTCTATTGTTAGTTACTCATTTACGTCTATGTTCTAAATCTAGCTAAATCTGTAACATGCTCAGTGCAATACGTGCGATATGAATTCTACTTAACGGGATGGTTGACATTGTTATGTAGATTACGTGGTAATGTATAACAACATTTAAACACAAACGATCACCTACGAGTTATATACTAGTATAATGACGGACACTTGAAACTTATTTCATCAATCATTGATGTTTATTTTAGATGACAGTAGTACATCTGTTTAATCATAGCTAGGGTAAAATCTATGACGCCACCTTCGGTTTCTAAAACAAGCAAGGTAAGAATAATTGTGGATTTCACAATCGGCTGTAATACATTGCTTTATACACACACACTCCTGCCACGTGCTATCGGTGTACATATCTTATCTACTATATACTTGTATATATATCATACACTGTTTAACAGTAACAAAACCGTTAGTTTTCTCCACATTAGTGGGATGATCATATGATGTAAGGATGGAATGATAACCAATACCGAGTAAGGTTATGTTGTGTTTACCTTGAACTAACGTTAATATATATGGCTGTTTATTAGTTTCCTGACTTCTAATCCGATGTTCAATCCTCAAGGATGTGTTATGATCTGACGGAAAGCGATATTATGTAATCCCGAAATAAGTATTTTATTTGAGTTTTTATTACTTTAGTCACCGTTATATTTATTTCCTAGTTTTCCTGCGTGTTTAATAAATGTTCAAACCCATTTCTGCAGTTCTTTACTCATTCTATTAAGCACTTATAAGAAATAACACCTACACAATAATATCTTTGTATCTTAAATGTTACATCCGACGGAAACATGACACCGGAATAAATTTGAACGATGACTGTATGTATTTCTGTTTGACTTTGTGATTAAAAGTTGAAAACTTTGCTTCTTTGACGACTGTGTGTATATCAGAGAATCAAGAACACTGTTTGGATATCCATGTTATATACACCTAAATATATATATATATAATATACCTTTATATGACAAACACATCGATGTCAACCAGGATGTTTTATCAATGGCCCCGCCTTCGATTTCTTAAATAAGCAAGGTAGGCATAATTGTGGATTTCACAATCAGTTTGAATACATCACACACACACTCCTGTCACGTGCTATATGTTTGTCAGATACTACTACCATACTGCTATCTCTTATCTATCGTGTTTGTTTATATATATCATATCACAGTATCAAACCAGTTTTCTTCATATCGGCGAGGTGATCATATGGTGTAAAGAACAAACAGTAACCAATGCTGGGTAAGACGATTTATCAGTAACCTGTCCTAAATATGATAAACAAATGATTTAGTCGTTTTTCTGACCATAATGATACTATATTCATTTCATCTCTAGACATGAATCTTATTTGAGTTTCAACTATTATCATTAAGAAAATAGTATTTTGTCATATAAATAAATCATTTTAATCAATATAACTTCACTTAATTTCCCAGTTTTTCACAGTAAAATGAAATTTCACACCGATTTCAGCAGTTGTACATTTCTTATTCGATTACACGTGTCCCGGGTTAGAAGTACCTCTGTTATATATATAACTCGCTGTGTGACTAACATGGCATCCGTCACCGGATACCTGAGGAAACATGATATTACACTAATTAAGACGATATGGTATATCTTTAGGTCACTTACCTAATATAGCATGCTGGTATGGAAGGCTTCCACTTGTGTTCAAATACATGACATTGACCCCATTTTAAGGTTACAAAAGTCAAATACGTAAAACATTTAAACAAGTTATGTCTGCATATCAAATAAACTTGGGTTCCTGATGTTTGAAAAGCAGCAAAATGAGGTAATTAGTTATATTTTTGGAATGCAGCAATCTGAGAAATTGGTTAGATAACGGATTATCTCAGTTTGCTGCTTTCGAAATATCATGAACTCAGGCTTTTCATTTTTTCAGCTGAAAGTCGGGAACAAACTTTCAAATTCATCAGAGTCAAACGAGTGTGTTCTTAGTAACGTTTCTCGTCTTAATAATCAAGAAGCTTAATGCATTAATGTTTGTCATTCAAATTCAAATGAATGACCTTGACCCACATTCTAAGTAACAGGGGTCAGATGTGTTAAAATCTTCAAACGACTACTGCATAAACCACAGGAATTGAGTAAAAATTATGGCTGGTAGCCCCTCAGGTTTAGTGAGTTGGATGTAGTTTTGTTCAAATAAATGGCATTGATCAATTTTCAAAGTTCCATGCCCG